TTTACGGCTCCTCCTGTAATTTTTGATTCATACTCCAAAGCTATTCTATCATCCAAAGCAGTATGGTTTTTACAATAGGCACTGGATCCTCTAATCATTCTGGGAGGAGTTTCCTCTGTAGTGACTGAAAATGACTGGACCAAATTCAACTTGGGGGCCTGTGAGAGCCCCCTAAGGCATTTCCCAGTGGTAAATTGTTGCCTTCATTGTCTCTTATTGATCTGCATTCATTGGTCCAGTGTGGGCCTTTGCTACATCTTTTGCATAATTCAGAAGGTTGGGGTCTTCTATTTGCATCATTCCTAGAAGCAACATTGATTCTCAGAACACCCTGTGTACACTTTCTTCTTAGATGGCCTGGTTTACCACAATTAAAACATTTGATATTTTGATGTTTCTTTAGGCCTTTGGAAATCACTTCTATCCAATCTTCATCCCTACAGTTATGAGACTCAATATTGACTTTGTGTTGGGTCCATTCTTTTATGAATGCTGATCTGACCTTTAAAGGTGCAATTATCTTTTTGCATTCTAAATTTGCATTTTCAATAGCCAACAATTCAACGAGTACTCATCTAACTTCTTGATCTGATACGACTGTCTCTATTTACAGCTTTAGTTAATCTTTACAAAAAGTAAAGAGTTCTTTCGAGCCTTGCATGACTTTAGTAAATGGCTCAGTTACTTTTCCTGATTCTTTAATCTTATACCAAGCATTTAAATATGCTGTATGGCACAGGAATGAGGTGTGCTTATCAAAAATAGCCTGCTTATTTATGTCAGCAAATCAGCCCTTGCCAAGGATATGATCTTGGGAAATCTCAAAACCTCTAATATTATTTTGCTGTTCAAGTGCCTTAGCTTCTTCTCTAAACCAAATTTTCCATTTTGACTAATGACTGTATCATAATACCGCTGAGACTTACTGATTCCAATCATTTGGAGTCATTCTCTTCCTGGAAGACCAGGTATTCTGCATCTGCTTTACATATTGTGAATGCATACCATAGGAGTCTATCGTATCATTAATATCTTTTAAAACTCCCATTTACAATCTTCATACCCTGAAGGATAATTAACATTAGCTGGCTTTTCACAAATAGGATAGATCACAGCTGGTGAACTTATGACTTTAGGCAAGTCATCTCTAACTGTAAGGTGTTGATGAGGTTGGGTCTCTCCTAATTTCTAGTCTCTTTCATCTGTACCTTACCACTGTTTGTTTGTTTGTTTATTTTATCAGTTTGAACAAGTTCTCTTAAGGCTTGCAATCCACTTGTCACCATTTTTGTAGGGTCTGAAACTCCAGAAAAATGAATGATTACAGCAATTTCATTAGATCAATCAGGTTTGTGTTTTCATTATTCACATATGATTCGACAGATTCCATTTTATCAGTCAATGGTAGCTTTTTATCCTTAGAGATTATCTGAATGTCATATCTGTTGCCTTCCGAAAGCAATGTTGTATCTGCCAATTTTTCATAACCATGTGACATGGAATGAATTTTGACTGCCAATTTGTCGTGTTCATATTCCACAGAATGAATTTTGCCTATCAGTTTATCATTATGTTTTTCTATGAAATGAATCCTTTCAGCTAATCTCTCATTAGTACTTTGTAAAAGCTGTATCATTTCAATAAGTTTCTCATTCTTGGCACTGTTATCAAACCGTTTTTAAGGATATGATATGAATTACCAGACTAATAACAACTATAGCTAAAAATGTATACGCTCCAGATAGGTTGTATATTTGTTCTAAAATTCCATCCATAGTAGAAACAAAAACGTTTAAAATTCCTGAATGGTGATATTATCCACCACTGGTATGAAAGAAATTTACAAATTGTAAAAAGAAATATTTTATTTTATCAGATTAAAGTGTAAAGGCATCAAATAATCTTTTTTGATAATTTTTTAATTTAAAATTTAAACAAGCTTGTTTTACATTTCAATCTCATTTTCTGCACCCTCTCATCCTCCCGTGTCCCCACCACCAACCCTCATCCCTTTCTGCTTCCCAGAGATGGGGGGCTTCCATGGGGAGTCTTCAAAGTCTGTCATATCATTTTGAGCAGGGCCCAGGCCCTCCTCTGTAACGAATAAGGTTTTTCCACCCACCGCTGGTCTTGTCCCGCCGTTGCACTAGCCCCAAATAACACACAGAGACTCTGTATTTCATATAATGCTGTTGGCCAGTTACTTGTTTCTTATCGGCTAGCTCTGTCTTAAGTATTAACTCATTTCTGTTAATCTATGTATTTCCACGTGGTCTCATCTTACTGGAGAGCCAGCTGGCTTTCTGCTCTCTCAACACTCTCCATCTTGACTCCTCCTTACTACTTCCTCTTTCCTCCTTGTCTCCTAGTCCTTGCTTTCCTATTGGCCAACAGTGCTTTATTCATTAACCAGTATGAGAAACATTTACAGACCGACATCTCCCATCACTCCTCCATGTGTCTAGGCTGAGGAAACATCCTTCTATGTGTAATGGGCTCCCAAAGTCTATTTGTGTACTAGGGATAGATACTGATCCACTACCAGAGGCTCCATAGACTGCCTAGTCCTCCTAGATCACATTCTGGGGGTCTGGTTTGGGTCTATGCTGGTTTCCCAACTATCAGACTGGGGTCAATTAGGTCCCCCTTGTTCAGGTCAGCAGTTTTTGTGGGTTTTTCTAGCCTGGTCTTGACCCCTTTGTTCATCACTCCTCCCTCTCTGCAATTGGATTTAGCTCAGTATTTAGCTGTGGGTGTCTGCTTCTGCTTCCATCAGCTACTCAATGAAGGCTCTAGGATGGTATTTAAGGTAGTCATCAATCTCATTATCGGGAAGGGCATTTACGGTAGCATTTCCACCATCGCTTAGATTGTTAGTTGGGGTCATCCTTGTAGATCTCTGGACATTTTCTTAGTGCCAGGTTTATCTTTAAACCTATAATGGCTCCCTCTATTATGGTATCTCTTTTCTTGCTCTCCTCTATTCTTCCCCTGACTCAATCTTCCTGCTCCCTCATGCTCTCCTCTTCCTCCTAATCAATTTATCTTAGAATCTTTGGGAGACTGTTCTGGGTGTCCTAGGTAATTCTAAGATGTAATGGTGATATTTGGTCAGCAGGTGTCGCAAGTGTACCACCAGAGCAGGTTGGTTCAGGCTGATTCAGACTCTTGGAGTGGACTCCTATGAATTGAAGACTTCACCCAGACAAACCCCCACTGGGTACCCCTGAGTGCTAGGCAAAGCTTCGGGGACCACAACCTTATATACATCAATGAAGCAGCACACAGAATGAATGTGGAAGTCTTCAGGCTCAGCAGGTGCTTAAACTGTGTGGAATGTACCAGCTGCTCCAGCAGCAAACTGGGGATACTGGAATGCAGAACTGGGGTCTGGGAGCTGTAAGACTGGTGAAGTAAGCCCTGGGCCTCATTTTTATCTAAATAAGGAGCAAGGTCAGGCTGGACCCAAAATTCAATGCTCCAAGTGCACAAACCTCTAAGACAAGTCTTAGCCACTGGTTAGCATGACAGGCAGCCAGGAGCAGGCCTGATGGACAAAATGTTTCCTGTAGCAAACCCGTGGTAGCTAATGGAGCAGGGTTCTAGCCAAGCTGGAGGAGAGGAAGCTCTGGGGTGGGATTTGAATTCATGTCTTGGGAAGTGCGCCAGCAGCCACAGAGGCTGGGAGGTCATGCAGGCATTTTGGGATCGGGCCACATGGGCACCACTTATAATGAGAAATCCATGTGGCTATGTTTAAGGGGTATCAAGGATTTATTAAGAGATGGAACATGAGAACACATGAATATGGAATATGGTAAGTCTAGTTGTAGAGTTCGGTTCACATGGTGTCTCACGACACCTGTTTTCGTCACCCAAAAGAGAGAATGACCCTCTCCCTCCTTCCTTATAAAAGGTCACATAGCCAGACAAGAAGCACCACCTCCATCATCTCTATTGGGCTAGATAGTCCAAGGTCATGGGCAGAGTGAATACCCGTTATAGAACCAGTAGAGAGTGGATATTCCCTAACCTAGAAGCTATCTCCAATTGATGACTGCTCACAAGGGAAAAATCAGCTTTCTCCAACAGTCTCACTGCAGGCAGGAACCACACCTACAGCCAGACCCATGTCCAACAGTAGACAGCCAACACAACAAGCTCAATGTTATTCTTAGAGTTTGTTTTTGCCTCATAAAGTTCTTTCTGGGCATTTTGTGAAAACCGTATAGGTCCTTTGCTCATATGTTAGAGGTTCCAATTTTGTGTCTTTATGGAATTTCTCTGTGTGTGTGTGTGTGATATATATCTATATATCTATATATATATCTATATATATAATATTCTCCCTCCCTCCCATACCCCCTGAATTCCTCCCATTCCACCTCCCCCCACTACACAGGGAGGGTGATGCCTTCCAGGAGGGATCATCAAAATCTGTCAAGTCATTTGGAGTAGGGACTGGGCCCTCCTGCCTCCAGGCTAAGGGAGTATCCCTCCATGGGGATGTGCTCCCAAAGTCCTTTCGTGCACCAGGGATACATCCTGGTTCCACTGTCAGAGGTCCCGTAGACTGCCCAGGCCTTCTAACTGAGACCCATGTTCAGGGGGTCTGAGTCACTCCAATGCTGGATTCCCAGCTATCATTCTGGGGGTTCATTAGCTCCTCCTTGTTCAGGTCAGCTGTCTCTGTGGGTTTCTGTAGCTTGGCCTTGTCCTGCCTCTCTGCATCTGGATTCCAGGAGTTCGGCTCAGTGTTCAGCTGTGCGAGTCTTTATGTCTTTTTCATACTTTTCCTTTGGCACTTTTTTTGTTGTTCATTTGTTTTATTCTATTCAGGGTTGTTTTCATTTTTAATCTCATTATTTATTATTACTATTTTAAGATGCTTATTTGCTTCTAAAGAGAGAGCAAGGAAAGGTGTGGATTTGGGTAGGAGAGGAGGTGGGGAGGATCTGGGTGCTATTGAGAGAGAGGAAACCATTATCAGACTATACTGTCTAGAATTTTTATTTTCAGTAAAAAAAGGACATGAGGATGTCTTGGGCTTAGGAAACGAATCACTATCCCCTGTGTTTCCTAGAGTGTTTAACTTGTTATGTTGTCTGTTTACTATCCATTGGCTTGTTGGATTCATTCTTTTCAAAATGTTCTTGTCAATGTGGGCTCCCATTCTTCACAACACCATGACTGAGGGAACAATGAAAGATGAGCTCTGTAGACATTTGTCACATCAAGGAATGGTGACAGCAGCAGCACAATCTTGGTCCTTAGAGGCTCCTTGTGATGGATCTAGCAAGAGAGGAAAAGGACCCCTTTAACATCAGAGGAAATGGGTTAAAGTCCTGTGTGCAATTAGACAAATGATAAATTCCTTCCTTCTAGTTGGGCCCTTTAGCCCCGCTGTTTTCAATCCTGAGCCTTGCTTTCATATTCTCACCTTATCGACTGTTCACCATTCACTGAATATTTATGAATCCTTATGCAGTTCCAGTAAGACTGTAAGTAGAGGCTGCAGTGGCTGGGGAATTTGAATGGAGAAGAATTAGCCCTGGATGCCCATCAATGCACAGAGTAGGCAATTACAAGACTGGAGTTAAGGCTTGGGGTCATGACACCGGAAGTCAAGGCCCTCCCTACTCTCCTTCCGGTTACGATCTGTGTGATCCTAGGTAGAAGATATCTCTTCTACCTCACTGTCTTCATTTATAAAGTGGGATTATCTTACACTGAATGTGAAAGAGTTACAGATACATTACATGAGAAAATACATGTAAAACTTCTGGTAAGTTCTAAATGCAGATAAACAGCATCTGCGTAGCAATTTTCACTGGGTAAAACTGCCTGTGTCACAGAGCAGAGTAATGGTTGCCCAGGCAGTGAAGATGAATGTGTTTTTCTTGTGCATCACAAGCCCATTCTTCATTTTAATTTGATTTGCTTTTCATATTCAGGTAACTCTGTATTGGATATTCATGATATTTGAAAATAACAAAGCTTACTCTTGTTTTTTGCTTTTTGCTTTTTTTTTTTTTTTTTTTCCAGAAAGAAATCTATTTTCTCTGAAGCTTTCCTACACAGTCTCCATGGACTCAGCAGGCAACACCCTGCCTCCCTTTCCTGCTTTAAGTGTTTTTCTAGAAGTAGTTCTCCCAGGCTGCACTGGGTAATTGACAGACTCATTTTCCTTGAGAATTTAGTCCATCCCTCCTGGATGTCTGTCCTTAACATCATGCACGATGAGTTGTATCATTTTTTCTTTTTTTTCCTAAAACTTTGTGAACCCATCAGAGCAATTCCTCTTTCAGCATCTGTGCCATTATCTGTCATAGATCTTAGAGAAAAGTCAAAGGCCACCAAATCGTCTTAGAGGTGAGCACATTTTCCCACTTCTATCCTGTGAGAACCATAATCCATGTGCAGAATGATTTCATAAGCACCACAATCAACTCAGTATAGATTGTGTAAAGAGAAACATTGAATCTTTCCTGCTTAACTGTATTTTTCTGCTACTTACATACCTCATGGGATATTTTATGTAGCCCTGAATTTGCCCCATCGCTTTTTTATATGTTTTGAAGCCTTTTCTTCTTTCCGTCTCTGTGCCTTGGACATCTGCGCTGGATTTTAATTGTGTTTAACTGGTGTTACCTAATGCTTTGTTGGAAGAGAGTCTTCATGAAAAAGACAAAATGTATTTTTTGATGAAAAAAATGAAGGCACATTACTTAAATCTATAGTGATAAATGAGAAATTCAAGCTTATAAGAAATGAATTAACTGTACCAGGGTTAATAGAAACATAAAGATTTCTGAGAGTTAAATGAGCAAAGCCACAAAGAGAATTGTGCATATAAGTTGCATCCATGTACTAAATTGCTTATGAAAACAATCATTTCCAGTTTATTTATTACATGAAATGGTATGCCTAGTGCTTAGACTCTCCTTTAAACACATGAAACAAGTTTGTTGTAGCGTGCTTGATCATTATCGGGTGGGACCTTTTAGTGTGTTCTAAAAACAACAATCTAGTGACTTTCCATGAGCAGTTTATTACATTTGCATTTCTTTAGTACACATTTGTACATACGTGTTTGGGGAAGGTGCACATATGCAAAGGCATGCCTGTGGAGACCAGAGGACATCGGGTGAGTTCAGTTCTCCCTTTCTCTACATGGCTCTCAAAATAGAATTCAAGTTGTCAGGCTTGAGGCATATACCTTTAGCTGCTCATCATTATGCCATCCCAGTATATATTTTCAAAATTAAAAAAAAATAGAATAAGAAAAGGCATAGCATTTGGAGCATGTTTCAATCCCTGCAGGTATGCTTTCCAAGGCTCTTCAGACATTGCCGTATGATACTGTATTTATTCATTTTTCTCTGATTGTCACTTAGTTGTCTTGAAGGGCTCTTTGAAGAGGGTGTTTTCCCAGGATGCTTCTGTGCTAAAAGGACAACTGTTCATTCATCATGCTCACACTAGGATTAGGTTTCTAAAAACAGTTCTGTCCTCCTGGCTTTTAAATGCCCATTATATGCTATCACAGATAAAGCAAGAGTGTAATACATTTATAGATGCAAATTACAACTAACTGTTTAAATATTGAATATACATTGTAAGTATAAAATAAAATTCAATGAATTGCATAGAATTTTGCTTTCCTATGTCTCTTGAATCTACCCAAGAAAAAGGTGTCTTCTAATGTCATTATCAGCTAGCCCCTTGCTAATCTTTTGTATACGTACTAAAAATAACTTCACAGCCCATGAAAATGCCACCTGTGAGAACATTCAGTTCTCAGAGAGCAGTAGAGGAGCAAATGTCAGATGCCGAGCTCAGCAGTTCCTGGAATTGAGGACACAGCTTTGGCCTGACCAAGCAGAATGCTGGATAAATTGAGATGAAGAAAATCTGAAGATACTAGCTGCCTTCTTGGCACTCTTCTGCAGCTAAAGGTGACTCATAGTCAGCATAGAGAAAACACTTAGATGTAACCAAAGCAGAAGGGCATGAATGGCACAAGAGTGTGAAGATGACAAGGAGAAGGGAGCTCAAATACTAAGACAGAGTGGTTCTCTTTCCAAGCATGTCTACTGAGTGACATTTCCAAAGACGTGTCTTCTTCTGTCGTAGAGAGCTGTCCTATCACTGTCTAATTTAATTCTTAGATTGAAGCAAGGATTTTACAGGGGCAGGTTAACTGAATAATTTGTAAACATCTGAAAGCACTTAGAAGCTGTGGAGAAACTGTGCCCACCCTGCTTTCTAGATTAGGTTTTGTCTCGTAAATTAGGAAGAATGATACTTGGGTGGTGAATTAAGAAATTTTGGTTGTCATTCTGATTCGGGTCTTTTCTATGTCTAAAACTGAGTGTTTCAGTAGCCAAGCTGATAACTAATACCACCTCAGTTTCCCCATTTGTAGAATTAACTTGGAGATAGATGCTTTGCTCCTCAAGTCTGTGAGTCTTGCTTTAGTTAAATCCATATTTCTCAGGATATGGATGGCATTTTGAGAATGTTTTCTATTGAAATACTTTATGTTTGCTGTTTATTTATCATACATGAACATTGTATAAGGAATCTTTTATACACTCAGGTTCAGAGAAGTAATTTACTGTCTGTAAAATCTACAGATTTATATTAGAACTCAAGCCATCTGACTTAAAAGTGTTCTACTCTAAGGCATCATGACCTTCCATTTCAATTGAGTGTTCCTTCGTGAAATAGGCACATCTCCCAGCCTGTGGATGCAACTGGAATGAGCTAAAGCACTCACAGATATGTCTTCAGATATGTGACTATTGGTGGCAAAAGGCTTCATAGACAGCTGAGTGATGATTCTTATTTCACAAGTTCTCAACTATAGGGAGGCATCCTTATATTTCTTTGTATGTTCTGCTGTCAAGCTTATCAGACCCCAGAATGAGGTAACACCCAGGCCTAGACAGACAATTTGGTATGTGTTCACTTATTTACAGATATTAGTTGTTAAGTCAATGATAACCACAGAGGTTAAGTAGAGAGTTAGGAACTAGGGTGTACAGACATATTTCATTATGAAAGATAAATAGAACAGATATTTGTGTATGGATGGTGTGATTGCTACAAAGAGAGACCCATGAGGGGATGAGGAAGGAATATTGAGAGGAACAGTTAAAATGAGGAGCCATTTCTCAGGGGAGCATGGAAACCTAATGCAGTAGAATGATTATGATCTAAATGAAATTGCTAAATAACAGAGGATACAGAGCCCCAGTTGGACATTTTCTGTCACCAAATGAAGCTCCCAGTACCAGTATTAGGCTACATATAATTGAGTGGTTGGCTAAAGTCCCCATGGAAACCCCAAAGTAACAGTAATGCAGGCTGTTGCCAAGACTATAGGTAGCTCTTCACAAATTGACAACAAATTTCCATTGCTGAGGACATCTACACATTTCATTGATCATGGAGAAATTGAACTTGTGCCTACACAGAGCCTTCACCTCTACTGCCTGGTATCTTGGGTTCAGGACAGTAATCTGCATGCTGCCAAAAGAGAAAAATAAATACCAAGTCAGCCACAAAACCTTCTCCCTAACTACAATGATGTTCTGCGCCAGAGATATGCTAGTCCAATGGTGGCAAAATGCTTGTAACTAATCAATATCTGGTTTGACTTAAGGCCGATTCCACAGATGGAACCCAATTCCAACACTGCTTGGATGACAAAAAAAACTTGAGACTGGATAGCTCAGAGAGCTAGAGTAAAATCAAATATTACTATTCAAAAAAAAACCATAAATAAATGAAACAGCAATAAAAGACATTCTTCTATATTCATAAATCAGTGCCTTGTTAAGTCATCATCAGAGAAGCTTCCTCCTGCAGCAGATGGGAACTAATACAGAGATCATTGGTTAGACGTTATGCAGAAAATGAGAGACTTTAGAACATTCAGTCCTCACGTGGGAGGTTTATTAGGGGAAGGGGAAGAGAAAGGGCACAGAAAAGGCCTGGAGGTGGGGGAGTAGTGTGAGAGAGCAAGCAGGAGATGGGGCTTGCCTTTTATAAGAGATATATAGTGCTTGTGCACAAGGAGAGCTCTATGTAGGCAGCAGCTGATGATGTATTCTGTCAGGACCCTGAGCGCTGGCCAGTATAAAATGCCTGAATCCTAACAAGCTCATGCGAGCAGGAAATACTCATAGTGGCTGTGTTTGTGGACCCTGAGGACAGGCCAGCATAATTCCTGAATGCTAACACCTCTAAATCAACAGGACCAACGCACACATGAACACACAGAG